ACCATTTATGAGAGGAATGGAGGGAGTCAGCGGAGTTTATTATTAGAGGGGCAGGAAGATGTTCAAGGAGTCATCGCAAAGAGGGAATGTGTAGGAAAATCAGAAAGAGGGGACAGAGTCACTCATAATGGGACAGAAAGGCGCAGCGCCATCCGATTTGACCCCCCCTCTACTCCCCAGGACCTCATAGGTACCAAGAAAATAAGGTTCCCCTCATGCTGCCCAGGCCCAGCCCAACATCAGCCTAGCAATTCTGGAGACTCCCAAGAGCACTGCAACCAAAAGAGAGGGAGGGACAGAGGGTCGCACCCCACTTCCAAGCAGCCCGTGGCCACAGACTCTGGATTGAAACCTTGCAGGGCTTGGTACCAGCTTTGGGGCTTGGATGCAAATGCCCCCTCTTCTAGCACAGGCAACCCAGGAGCTGAAGTTAGGTGCACCAGAATTATCCTGCACAGCCAAACCAAGGCACGTCCCTGGCTGCCGCCGGCGTGGGAGCGAGCAGATGCTGGAGGCTGGCCAGGGCCCGCCGTCAGCAAGAAGAGCTCGGTGTGGCTGGCATCAGCAGCGCGGTCCTGCAGCCACCCTTCCCTGGGCTGCTTCCAGCCAAGACGTCTCATCCCTCGCACGGCTGCTGGTTTTCCCCCTGGAAATTGCTCCAGGAGCACAGGCTTTCTGCGGGCAGGCAGCATTTTGTGGCCAGTCCGGCGCTGCACAGAGGCACCAGCTCCCTCTCGTGGGCTTAGTCTGGTTCTCTGTGCTGGAAACCGTCCAGGATTTCCCAGGAAATTGTTGTTTTTTTGTTGTTCTCCCCCCCATAATTCAGAATATTCATTACTGCACCAGACATCAAAGTTTTATGGAAATGTGCCAACTTCCATCAAGTTTCCTCTTGTAGGAGGGGTTTTTTGATAGTTTTGCCACCCCGCCCTTTTTTTTTTTCTTTTTTTCTTTTTCTCACTGAGGCTGGGATTCAAAGCAACTAATTTAGGCATGTAAATGGTAGGTCTCTCTGATTCACTTGCCCTGGGCCTCAGGAAAGAGTTGGGGGTCTCCACTGAGCCCTTCAAGTGCAATCTTCGATGCCTGTCCTAGGAGGGGGGAGTCGCTCCAGCAGTGCCCAGCTCTCTGCAACTCGGGGGGCAGGCACAGACTGAGGCATCCAGCATTTAGATAAGTCAATGAAGGGCACAGCATGAGTCCCCAGTGGCCATTTCAGTTTGCAATGCTTGAAATCAAGTATGTTTTATGAAGTCAGAAGTCAAGAAAGAAAAGGAGAATAAAAATTATTAAAAAAAACCCCTCTTTTGATTTGTACCACAAACAAAAATGTGGCTTGACTCCAAACATTGCCTGGGAAATGCTGTTATTTCAGCTTCTGGCTTTTGTTTGGAAAATCCTGGTTTCCCCAGAGAGCTGGAATTTCCCCCAGAGCTGAATTTCCCATACCATTTCCACCCAAGCCCCCAGCAGGGAGGTGTCACGAGTCCGGAGAGGTGTCCGTCCATCCTGCAGCACACCCTGGTACCTGCGGGGGATAGCCAGGTCACTTCCCCCCCTCTGCCTCCTCCCCAGGTTGCGTGACCCAGAAGGTCTCACCGGCATCCCAATGATGCTGGCCACTCCACAGATGAAACACGGACCTCACCCCCCTGCCCTGAGCCCTGCAGAGAATTAGGCAACACATCAGGGGCTGTTGTGCTTCAGAAGGGTGGGTTGGTGTTTTCCTGCCTGGCGTGATACTCATCTCAGTGGGGTGTGTGGCCGCGGGACAGATGGGGTGGCTGCTGACCACAGGAAGCCTTGGCTGTCCTCATCTGCCATCACCACCCATGGGGACCCCTACCCAGGGCACTGCTGCTCCCCTTTTTGCAAGGCTTGACGGCTCCGTCCTGCTTCCAGCCTCTCTCCCAGCACTCCTCCAGCCTTGCCCACACACACAGCTTGGCGCAGGGCTAAATTTATCGCGTGGGTTTGGCTGTTTGAGGCTGTAAGCTGGTAGCTCTGATAGCAGAAGGGAAGGGTGACAACCACACCCAGCGAGTCCAACTGTCCTACAGCCTGGACCCGAAACAGCCACGTCACAACTCCGCCTGACGTCCATCTGACGAGTCCCTTAGGTATTTAAACTGCTAGTTATTATCTGCAACCAGGCATTTATTATGCCATTTGTAATTGTTCGTTGCTTCATCCCCATGCTGTGTTTGCCTGCCAGCTCCAGCCGCTGAAAGGACTCTGTGCTTTGAGCTGCCTCTTCTAAGTGCCATGCTTGGGCACTTCTTTCTCCATGGACCTATCTCCATGCCTTGCACCGGGGTCTGTTAGCCCCTTTGGAGGACAACAGCCCTCTCTCCCCTTCCTCTCCATGTCTGGCTGGCTGGGTATCCCCTCCCCAAATGCCTGCAATAACACCGTGCCGAGTCTCTGTAGCATCTTTCTCCCACACCCTGGACCATCTCCAGCTGAGTCGTCTCTTTTGCACTGTGCAGTGCCTCGAACCGCGCGGGTGTTGCACCTGAGCCCTGCCTTGTGCTGGGGAGAGCAGAAGGGCTCGTTCACCTCTCTCCCACCTCTCCCATCACCATCACATCGTTGAATGGGGTCAGAGCAGCTCAGCGCAGTCTGTAGTGATGATTACAACTAGTTCCTTTCCACCCAGTTCACAACCCCTTTCTGTTTCGGGCCCTCCAATCGCCTTTCAAATCCAAGGGGTGAATGCTGCTTTGCACAACGACGTAGCAAGGGGCACAGGCTCAGGGTAATTTTCTGGACAGCCTCATCCACTTGCTAATGACTGCCATCTCTCTGTGGTCCCAATTGGCCCTAATTCCTTGTCAAAATTAGTGATCAGGAATCACACCCGCCTCGTCTTCCTCCCTGCACAGATTGGGTGTATTGGAGAGGAATAATTGCCACCAGGGTAGCTTTGAACCACGGGAGGAGGGCAGATTTCAATGTCCTTGAGCTGCAGTGCCCTTTGGGCAAGAGAAATAACCCTTTGCTCTTCAACTATGCCCAGGATGATTTATTTCCCCTTGTATTAGCCATGGGATACAAGAATGCTTTTCTGCAGCAAAGGCAGACCAAAACAAGCAAAAAACAGCCAGTTTTGCTTTAAAGTGGCAAAAAAAATACCCAACTGTGTTTTCCTGCAGGCTGTGGGAGACTCTGTCTCCGCTACTGCAGGACGTGTAAATCCAACACAATGAAATATTAATTATTAGAGTCTGTCCAACTGGGATTCCTCAGTGCTTTCAGAGAGCTGAATAATTCCGGCATTCAGGAAAAAAAAACACACAAGTCTCTTTTTTGTGAGAAAATATCATGTGAGGAGTAAATTAGAGCTTTTGAGCATTCGGGCCGAGGGACAGGAGTGGGCTCGGATTGCTTCAGGGCGAAAAACGCAAATTCCTAAATAAGGTATGAAAGAGATCGTGGTCTAATGAAGAGATAAAGGGAGGTGCATCACCCAGCGTGGCTCCTTTGGCACGGAGATCTGCCCTCGCAGCATGGCGTAACTGTGAGAAGGAGGGGGTAAAGGAAAGTAGAAGTCGATTAATAAAAGAGAGCGCACATCTCTGAAGACTCTGTTATGCAGCACTTCAGAAGGCAGCATTCATCCAGAGCAACCACGGGCACTAGCCCAAGGCAGAGGCTCTCAGCACGGCTCAAAGCCCCTTTTGTCCCTCTTGTTTACCAGGGCTGGATTCGAAGCGCAGCGCAGAGCGTCATCCCTTGGCTGAGCAATGTTTTGCAGATTTGGGAGCCCAGGCTGACCCAAGTTTAAGCATTTCCATGCTTTTGCCAGAACAAAACTCCTCCAAAAAGTGCTGCTTGGGAGGAGGGAGAGGCATTCAGCAATACTCCTGGCAATGAAAAATCTCTGAGCTCTCATCATTGTTCATTTTTTCAGCTTCCTTTTACCCTCATTTCTCTGCAGCTTCTGGAAACATCTACGTGAAATACTTGGCCTCCCTCAAATCTGTATTCTTCTCTTAGAAACCCCTCCACTGTTCCTCAGCAGCTCGACCCAAATGCTGCAAATACTTTTCATTACCCTGCGGTTGCTTTGGGGGATGTCGGAGGGACAGGTAAACGAACGGCTTGCTGGAAGACACGATGCCAAGTGGTAGGTCCAGGGCAGTGCTAGCCCTGGGTAAGGTCGCTTGGCTCGAACAACAGCCCCGAGCAAGCGAGGCAACACGAAGAAAGGGATGACCCAGGACAGCCGCTGGAAGTGGAGGTGGGGACAAGGACTGCAGTTAAGCAGATGTGCGCAGATGTGCACAGATGTGCAGGCTGTACAGATAAGCATCGTTTTGATAAAAATGTGGCACCGCAGGCAGAGCCAACAGGAAGAGGTATGTGGCTGATGTGGCTGAGTGTTAATGGGGCACAGGGGGATGTCATTGGCCCTAGCCGGGGGCTGGGAGCGAGAGGCTGGACAGAGGGGGTGAGGGGTGCAGGGGAGGAGTGTTGCAGTCAGCACCCACCGCAGGCTCAGGCTTTTATACGCAGGACTGCCTTTTTCCCTTCCCCAGCAGCAACCCTGTGAGTTTGCACAGTTTCCCTTCCGAGTTGGTGCTGAGGGGTTGTTATTTTTGCCCACCCCCCTCCCTGAGTCTGGAAGCTGCCACTGTGTGGCTCCCAGCAGCAACCCGAGATAAGGTAAGATTGCAGGAGAAACCCCTCGAGAGATTTGCAGGACATGCAGAAGCAGCATCTCTCTCCCCCAGGCTGCAGGACATAGCACGGCCGCTTCTCTACCAAGCTGCCGGGGCGACAGAGCTCAGGCATGAGAAGCAAGTGAGAAGCTACAGGTTGGGAGGCAACACAGGGCAGGAGGTGGTGACCATAATACTTTATCTATTCTGAAGCATGTTCGATGTCCATACCCTCCTGGGGGAATATGACCATGCTTTTCAGGCCTTCAGAAGCCCCTTTCTCCCACCACCACTGAGCAGGCGAAGAAGGACACTGGCATGGGAGTCCCTGGCATCTCACTGCCGAGCTAGCCTGGGCCCCGGGCACGCGTTCAGGTTGCACAAGAAGGTTTGGCAGCAATATGAGGTGTAGGAAGCCAGGCCCAGGCTGAAGTTGTGGTGTGGGCAGGTCTCAGAGCACTTCTTGGTGATCCTCTTCCACAAAGACAAAAAGCCTTGCCCAAAGAAGGGAGAGAGCAGTATTAGCAACGAGAGTTTGTTGAGTGCTTCTCGATCTTGTACAGCAGGGAGATGGGCTAATGAGTCCCACTGTCCCCCACAGCCCCAAGGACCAGCATGGCCAATGAGACCCACCCCGATCCCACCCCAGCCCAATAAGCGCTGGTGACCAGCTACACAGGGCATTCAATATCCCTGCTGGGCATCTGGCACCTCCCAGCATGGACCCTCATGTCAAGGCTTTCTTAGGTGTACGATGGCATCCGTGAGACAATGTTCATGCCTGGATTGAAAGCACATTTCCAGGCTTCTCTGCTTGAAGGAAATGATTTTATTCCCCTCTATATCTCTCTACACCTTCTCATACACCCTGGCTACCTGCTTCTTTTCATCTCCTTCTCTAATCAAGGTTCAAATTTATTTATTCTTCCTCTGAAGGATCCTCTCTTTGTCCTTCCTCTTCTCCCAGTGCCCCCTGCCTTTTCCATGCAGGCGTAAAACAAAGGCTAAAGAGGACAATCTCAATGTGTGATGGGGAGGAGGATTTCAAACCATGCAAACTTTGAAGGCTGGGCTAGCAAGGGCTCCACCTCCCACATGTGCTTCTCCATGACTCCTCAGCCCATCCATCAACAAGGGGCAACCATAACAAATCCAATCAAAACCCCACATCCCATTTGTGAGTCCCCATCAGAGGACGGACAGCCAGCACATACCAATTCCTACGGAGGCAACATTGGTCACGCAGTACTCATCCTTGTCCGAGCACTTCTTGGCCTTCAGACAGCTCCAGTTGCTTTGTTCCCAGTCACAGGTGTAGCAATACAGGGCATTTGCTGCAGGAGGAGACAGAGGATATGGAAGATGGAGACAAAATCCTGCTAGTCCCGGCAGCAAGAATTACCACCTGCTTTCCATTGACTCTCGAAGGCACAAGGTGCGGGTCTGCTGAAAGCGATGGGGCTGCGAGACCCAGAGCCGATCCACTCCGCCATCCACACACTTCCACATTTACACCCAACACATGCACTCAGGCACGCGCATCTGCGCGTACACGCACCGATGGTGCAAGTCTGCCCTTGCGCCCTGCACTCAATAGCACAATGGGCCAAGGGTACTGGGTTTGATGTGATGCAGGGAGCTGGGAAGGACAGGGTCCTCTGTAAGAGTCTACAGGCATGTCCCAAGGCTTGGGGTCCCCCTTTCTAGTTGCTGGAGACACTATAAAGTAGACTATAGCCTAATTGGGCAGTAAGCATTGACAGTTGAATAGGGTTAATTGGGACCTCCATAGCCTAAAGAAGTCAGTCTCCCATGCCTGTGTCTTTGGGTGGGACTTCAGTGCCCTCAAACATACATGTGTTACCTGGGTTAAAAAAAAAGGTAAGGAGAACGGCTTTTAACTCTTTGCTGTGTGAATGCAGCCCTAAGACACATGCAGTCTAACACTTCATTTTTACTGCCTAGGTTATCTAACACAGATTAGGGCAGTCTTCGTTTTGGCACTGAAGACAATCTCTCTGTCCCCCAGGCCTTGTTAACACTTGGAAATTTGTCAAAATCGCTATTCTGGTAAGTGAACAAAGCTAAATAGCAGAAAGGTATGCTTAGGACACAATGAGACAGAAATAACTGTTCCAAGAAATTATTTTTCTGCACCAGACAATGTGGCAAATTTCCAAGCGCTGGCAAACCTTGTTCCTCTTTACAAAATGAGGATAGCATTTATTCTCTCTGGTTGCTTAACTGTCTTGTCCATAGAGGCTATAAGATCATATACTTTAAGACTGCTCTGATTTAATTTGCAATCTCTCTGTGAAATAAAATACATAATCTATAATGCAAATAATATGCAGATATACATCCCCGCCCAATATCCCAGCATAAGGCTGCTTAACTCATTTAGTCCACAGCCTAACTTCTCCCTAATTCCCCAACTTTATCCCAAAATCTCTGAAATCAGCAAGCTTGTCAGGTCTCTGAGATGGGCAGAAATCAGGGGCATCCAGCAGGCAGCTGCACAAGGCCAGATGTTGTAGGTCCGGCCCCGTCCCACTGCTGCTGCTAGAAACGGTGTCACTGACTGCAGTAGGAACCAGGTGCACAGAGCTGCTGATGTATTGTGCTATCGCAGGCTGAAGCACTTCTTCATCAAGAATTAGAAATAACCACAGTCTTGCATCACCTCAACAGACAAACTCACTGGAAAGTCTCTTAACAAAGGCAGAACAGTGGCAACTGCTTTCCTTTTTTCTGTCTTGCTTTCATAAAAATCCAGTAGCGCATGAGTCTATAGGGAAAGTTCCCTGCAGAAAATAAACCTTTCACACATCCAGGCTGAGACTACAGATGAGAAACCCACTGCGTCCTTCAGCTGCACCACTGCAAGAGCTAAGACACCCTCTCCCATGATTTCTTTCCCTGGCTACGAGGCCTCCCTGACTTTAAAACACGCAACTGTTCTTTGTCTAGTAGCAAACCGTGATACCTCACCTTGATCTGCGCATAGGATCAAAGCCAGCATGGCAAGGAGGGAGGCCTTCATCTTCTCTCAGTCGTCTCCGCAGCCCAGGAAAAGCACCCTCACCTGGGGACAGGATATATATCTTCCCTGCGTTTGGACTGAGTGATGATGAAGACAACGATTTTGAAAGAGTGGGCAGGGATCATGCATTATTTGACAGGCTAGGAATGCATGTGGGTTGTTTTCTCACCTTGCTATTGCCTTCAGGCTGGTCTGATGGGTCCGGAGAGGAGTGAAAGCACTAAGGCAATTCATTCCATTTATTGCTTTTAATGCTTTAATTTATCTATGGTCAGGCTAGCAGTGCTACTGATGTCTGAGTGGGGCTTTTGTACTGTTTAGCTCCAATCTGATCATCACATCTGTGGCCAGACAGTTCAGTGAAGGCAGCTACTCAAAGCAAAATGGTAATAAGTGGCATAAATTAATGGCTTCATCTGGGTGGATTATTGCCAAGTGCGTTTCCAGGGTTAGACCTGGAGAACTCCCAATATGTACAGTCAGGGTAGATCTAGCTGTATATTTATGGTTGGCAACATAAACAGGAAATGTCTTATAATCTCCTGTTTGCCTATAAAAGCTGCTGGTTATCTACAAAGTCCTAAATGCTCTGCGTCCTGGTTTTGAGAGCCGCTGCCGCAAGAGAGCAATGGCTTTGGGGTTCAAAGGCAGAGGCTGGGACACTGGAGGTTGGTTTCCAGCTTTGCAACAGCTTTCCTTTGCTACAGCTGAGCAAAGGGTAAAAATATCTTCGTCCCCCTTCTACATGGAGCATCCGATTCAAAGTCCTGCTAGATACCAGTCAGATATAACGTTCTCAGCCTTTACGGTTTTGCTGCATACTTACAATTTGGGTGAACCTGGAGCTGATAATTTCAGCCTTTCCGGGGCCTCCATTTGACTGCCTGTCCCACTTCTGCTTCCAAGGAAAGAGTTACCGGGAAGTTTGGTACTGAATATCAGCAGACATCTCCGTGAGTCACCGCATGCCTGGCCACCAAAGAGCGGAGAGGACGAAGCAGGAGCAGCCCCTTTGAATAAAGACATTTGGGCAATCAGCTGTCTGCTCACCCCTTCCTTCTCCACCCTGCAAGACTCGGTCTGCAGCGAAGAGAACAGGGATCCGGCTGTAGCTAAACAGCCTGGGGTTTACGAGATGGAGATGCAGGAGAAGAGGCAGAGGCTTAGAAAACATGTGGAAGAAAGAGCTTAGATGGACGAGGGGAGGGCAAAAATGATTGGGGCCCAACATTAGTTTCTGGGCAGGAGATCAGCCAGATGAGGAAGCATCCCTGAAGCAGGGGTCATGCTCATCAGAGACATTTAGAGCATCTGATGGGACTAATCATTGTTCGTCATAGTGAAGGCATGGCCAGAGGAAGTTCAAAGGGACACCAAAACCCATAGTGTCTTCCTTTTTAAGAAAAAAAAAAAAAGGGGAGGGGATTACTGGGGTGGGCTTTTTTGGTTGATTTGCAGATATTTTTGAGGTTTCTGACACCGGCGTTAAACCACTGGGTCTGCCAATACAGCTGACATAAAGCAGGCTCAACAGGATGGTGAAGTCAGCCCTGATAACCCCATGAGCACTAACCATTCCTCTCCAATGGACGTACACCTTCTGGGTGTGGAGAGGATAAGCCACATCGTTTGCCCAACAGATGGAGTTCTGCCAGACTCAGGGACTGCATGCCACCGTGGATGACAGAGGAGGTATGTCAGTCCTCCCAGATGTCACGAGGCAGCAACTGAGGAGCTAGACCTATTCCGGGGAATAAGGATTGCCCAGCGTGATTCATTGCGTGGTGTCCTCCTGCGGGAATGACTCTTTGGGGCGTCTGGAAATCAGCCTGGGCAGCCAAGGCTCAGCGTCCTGCAGCAGCGGGAGCATCCCGGCAAAGGCCTGCGCTGATAAAGAAGCAGTTTGCTATAACCAGATTTGACTCTTTTTTTGAGGAAGAAAGGAAAAATAACTGTGTTACTCTTCAATATGATTAACAAGGTGCATTCTTGATTGTTTTTTTGAACAAAGAAATGTCTCTGACTCAGTTTATTCCCCCACTTCCGAGGACTGATGGCATGAACATCTCCTCTCTGACACAGAACTGGAGAGGAGTCACCTGGTCCAGGGATTCAAATGTGCTCCTCACTGACAGCAGGAAGATGATCTGCAAGGCCACGGGAAGTGGTCCACCACTGGTCCGCTGGCAGGAGTGGTTTGATGGGCAAGTGTGATGATGGACAAGGGTGCACGATGGGCCGCTTGGCATTTTGAGGGTTGCTGGTGGCCCACTGAGCCAGATAGTTGGGAAGTTACCATCCTGGCCTCAGGTATGTCTGATGCATATGTGTGAGGTTTGGGACTGCCATGGCTGGCATTTCCTCAGAGGCACATGGGAGACTAAGGATGGTGGTGTCACCCTGGGTGGCCAACACATGGAAGCAGCATGACTGCAGCTTGGAAGGCAGTGCTTGGCTGGGTCAGGGCAGAGAGCTGCAAAAAAGGTGTCCTGGTATCCAGCATCACAGAGCAGAAATGAGACCACAGCTATAACAGTAAATTAAATGTGTCCAGGACCACCTCCAGCACGGAAGCCAAGAGGTGGACATCAACAGGGCCTCTTGTGAATAGTCCTTCCCTCGTGCTCTCTCCTCTGTTTTTTCCAGACGATGCATGGGACAGTGGTGGTTGTTCCATGTTAAAACCTTGCCAGGGAACATGCTAACGATTAAAATGATTCATTAGATGTTGTGGATGATGGCATTACAGATCAGGGAACGTTCCCGGGAACTGTTTATTTCCCTAGCTTAGGTTCAGCCTTGGATATCAGACCCTTGCAGGCATATGAATCACATCCTTCAGGATGAGGGTGTGGTCCCTAATTTTACTCTTGGCTGTACCACACTATGTTGGAGCTGTCTAGAAAACACATCTTTATTTATCTGCCCTCTGCAATGTTCTGCCCATTGTGTCTTCTTAGATGGAGAGCAGAGATCGGAAGTCAATGAACAGAAGTCAGCCAGGTAGCTGCTCATCTCCCAGGAGCCTCATACTGGGCTCTTCTCACAAAAGGCCTACGGACAAGTGTCCACATACGGAATCACAGCAAGGAGGGACAGAAACATCATGGCTTGATCTCATAGAAGCTCTTCCTTTTATTTGCCCTGAAGTTTTTAACTATTCAGCTTCCCTGTGGTCATAGCATGATGTCTGCCAGGCCCTCCGACGCTCATCACTTCTCAGGTGGCATCTCAGAAGGTTCCCAAATATTTCCATCTATCACATCATCATCCAGTCTGACATATTGCCATTTCCCACCCACTTGCTAGTACACCAGGGGTTGCAGGAGGGAAGAGGTTCTCAGCACCAGGTATGATTGCACCACCAGGGATTTTTCAGCCCTAAATAAAACCCATTGAAGCAATTGCAGAATCTAACCCTGTCTTGTTCCCCATCCTTCATTTTGGGTGGGGTGGTTGTGGAGGAAGAGGCCAGGTCAACATGGTGCCACTGTTGTTTTTGGCAGGGGAGACTAGAGTTTGAAGCATGCATTGCCCTGGAAGAAGAGGCAGTTGTGTGTGCTGAGCACCTCCTAGGTGAGGGCAAGCTCCAGCTCTTCCAATCCTTGGGTCCAATGACAGTGGCTGAAGAGTAATTTTTCCTTCTGGCTCTTTCCCTCCATCCTTCTCCTCCTCCCTGGGGATTTACTTGTGCTTGGTCCTGCAAGGCTCATTCTTTGTATCCTTCCCGGTCGTGACCTCTGCAAAATCAGGACAGCAAGGTGGGTTGTCATCACCATCCCTTTGACACAGATCTGTCCCCATCTCACTCCCCCATTCCTGGATGCTGTGAAGGTGGCCAGGTAGTCACCATGGGAGTCCCGCTGTGGGGTGGAGATACTCAGATTCAAGAACACAGCGTGGGCAGCCTGGGACCAGGTTACACCAAGGTGTTGAAATCCTTCTGAGAACCTGCCCTTTGGCTTCCTCTCTTTCAAGCCAGGCAGGGAAATGATGCCCCAGGGGCATACCAAATCTCTATTTACCAGTATTACCTGATTTTTGGCATCTCTGGGACTCCTGTATTGCCCAAATCCCAGCTGGGTCTGGATTAAGTTACATAGAGGATCATACCCCTATTAATGCCCCCAAGTACAGGTATCCAGCAGTGACATCCCAGCTGGGTCTGGATTAAGTTACATACAGGATCATACCTGTACTTGGGGGCATTACTAGGGGTATCCAGCAGTGATGTCCAGGTGTCACAAGCTCCAGAGGAGGTCACCACCCTTCCAGCTGCCCTGGGGCTGGAACCACACTGCAGAAGAGCTCTCATGGAGGCAGCTATGTCTATAGCAGTAAGACATAGAGAGCCCATGCGCAGTTTCAAGGGCTGTCCCACAGTTGTCCACACCGTTTAATCGTTAGCATGCTCCTCAGCATGGTTTTGGCCTGACCAACTAGGACCATCGCTGACAATTCCAGATCTATTTTACAATTGGCATTTTAGATTCAGCCACCTTATTTTGGAGGGAGAGAGCTCGGCTATACAGATGGGTACCAGCTGACCCCAGGGCCAGGAACTGACACAGGGCATTTCATTTGCCAATATGCCTTCCCCATGCTGCCCTAGACCTTGTCAAGAACCGAGTCTTGACAGCATACTAGAACAATACCACTGGAGATGCAAATTTGTTATTTTTCCACAACTTTTTCTATAAGCCTTCAGAAATTTCTGCCTGGCTGAAACAGTAAGAGACACACTCTGATCTGGGGCTGTGCTGATCAGGATTGTACCCTCCTCCCACTCACCTCCATTTGTTTAGCTCTCTGTATACTTGCATGAACAACCTGACCATGCTGCTTGCAAAACCCCAGCCCTGCTGTGAGTCAGCACTCAATAAAAAAAGGGGATAAACAAACACCTTGGAATTTTTTTTTTTTTTTAAATTGTGGCTGCAGAGCCCTGTTGCATGAGAAGCTATAAAAGAATAACTGAGGGATCTCTTCATCAAGCTCAA